CCCCAAAACCCCAAAACCCCAAAACCCCAAAACCCCAATTTTCTATTTCACAGTTGAGAGAGATCAAATTATATAAATTATCTTCTATCTGTCTTTCCGTTTCCTCTCTTTCCTGAGTACAAATGCTTAGGCATTTTAGTGGTCTGCATTCTATCAGCAAATGTAACATTTTCAACCTTTTTCAGCTTCTTCTCAATCTTATGTCTGACCCTCTCCATAGATTTATTCTGGACCTTGGTAGATAATTTCTTTGGGTCAGCTCCTTCCATTCTGGAAATGGCGAATTTGATTTTTCTGTCTCTCATCTTCATTCTCAAGCTCATGTCATTCTTGTCTACCTGCATGGCCATATCGTCGCCTTGGTCAACTTCCATTTCTTCTCCGGTCTTCCGTCTCTTCTTAGAGACACCCATGATTTCGAAGAGGGATTTTCTGTTTTGCTTATTTCTTTCAAGGATTTCATCTGCTTTATCACCGACTTTCTCTCTGAGTTTTAAGCCAGTGACATCGGCAGCTACTCTTTTCTTGTTAACTCTGTGCTCACGCTGGGTGATCTTGGTATGCTTGATGTATCCGATCTTTTTCTTGACTTTCTCGTATTCCTCGACCATCATTTGTTCCATCTCGGATGGCATGTCTGGGACCTCAGCTGCTTCGAGCTTAGTCAGATATTCCTCTTCTTTTTCTAGCTCATTGAGCTTCTCTTCGATATCAGGGTCATAGAAATCAGCCACGTTGTGACCACCCATGAAGGTAGGAGCATTATCGTATTTCCAATCATCATCTTCAAGAAGGAAGTGCTCTTGATATGGGAAGGACCATACTCCAGCTCCACCATTTTCTACTTGCATCTCAAGGACAGTCTTCTTGTCATTAGGTCTGGGGACTTGATCTAAGACGGTTTTTGGAACATGAGCTGGACGCTCAACCTTATCTTTCCTCTTTGGAGTAGCAACATAGACTCTGTTCAAGATTGACTCAGCTTTCTTTGGGTTCTTAGCTTTTTGGGTCAATCTGTGATCCAATAGAATATCACAAGCAGTCTGCTTGACTTCGTCAAGACCGATTTTCTCAGTGTTACTCATTTTGACCACGAAGGCTTTGGATTCCTCAGCAGTTTCAGTGATGAGGTCTTTGTTCTCTTGTGAAACTTCTTCCCATCCAGTGACATCGATCTTAGACAAGACAAGGACGATTGGCTTAGATACAACAGTTTCCTGAGTGTCTGGGTCAACAGTGTAGAACAACTTCCTAATATTCTTGAACAGTTTGATCTGATCGCTGATAGTATATCCACAGTGCTCAGAGATATCAATGAAGTACAAGATACAGGCATTGAGATGTGCCAATGCAGTGATTGCTTGCATTTCAATAGTATTTCTCTCACTAATAGGTCTATCCAACAGTCCTGGAGTATCAATAATCTGCCAATCTGTGTATTTGTACTCGGTATGACCAACGAACAGAGATTGTGTTGTGAATGGATAGCTTTGTACATCCACATCTGCCTTAGTGAGGTTGTTCAGGAAGGAAGACTTTCCTACATTAGGATACCCTGTAATCAAGAGAGTTCTAGTGTTGGTGTTGATACTTGGAAGTCTTGCCAAATGCTTCCTAACTTCCTCCAAGTAACCGAGAGAAGGCTTCAGCTTCTTGAGAAGAGTTGCCATTCTTCCCAATGCAGCTCTCTTAAGCATCTTACATCTGTAGAGAGAATCAGCGTATTTCATGAGCTTTACATAATCATTGGAAATTCTATCAACAATGGCTTTAGCCTTGTTCACATGACCAAGAGCGAGTTTGTAATGGTCTCTGTCGTAGAGGACGTTCATAAGATCAGCATAGAAAGGATGAATATCATCCAGATTAGGGAAACTGTCTACGATTGACTGTAACTTCTCATTACAAGTAGTTTGCGTATACTTGACTTTTCTCATGTAAAACCTCCTAATTCTGGTAATCTTGAAGTTAGCTCTGATCTCAGTTGGAGTCTTCCTATTGGTCTTCGAAAGCACCACATCGATGAGCTTGCTTGAGTCTGGGATGGGAGCAATAGCCTTGAAATTATATCTGCTTATAGTTCCTGACATTATTAGAGTGTTTTCTTAATAATTTATATTTCAAGTGGATTATTTTCTAAAGGGGTTTTGGGGTTTTGGGGTTTTGGGGTTTTGGGGTTTTGGGG